CAAATGTCTCTTGAATGTGAATATAAGTCTAAATTTAAACAGTATTATATAGAGCGGTCTCCGATCCTGTCTCTTTAGGGCACTTGGAGGAAACCACGCAATTCATATCGATTACTTTGGCGATGTTTTTTTGCGATTTCAACTTTTTGAAACGTAATATAGTAAGTATGTCTGAAAAAGCACAATTTAAATATATTTCTTTTTCACCTGGGTACACACACATATATATAGGCCTATATATGACAAACTCTGAACTTTGATCTATACACAAAAGTATTAGATAACAGAGTAAACAAGTGTGTGTTCTTAAGAAGAAAGTTCAAAAAGTTATGTGGGATACTAGAGAATACGGGACGCACTCCAAGGAAAGGACAGCCGGCTACAGCCAGTTTAACACGGCACACCCAAGACCAAGTAAGGGAATGACAGGGAGGGAGAAAACAGGAGACCAGTGCATTCTGGGAAATCTCACAGTGGGGTAGAGTGGTTTTGTTTGGAGAAGGCTAATAAGCACAGCTCGAATGTATTGTATTTCCCTTGCTGTAATCACTGTTTATTTTTATAAAACAGTTGTTTCCTCCAAACTTACAGTAGAAAACAAAGTCATGGATTCAGGTAAGCTACAGGGAAAAAGGAAAAAAAGGTCATTGTATTTCAAATATATATTTCTACAGTTTTCTTGTACAAACGTCAAGAAAAACAAACAAAAAAGATGATGTAATTCTGAGTTTGACTAGTTTAAATGTCACCTTAAATCTTAAAACACACCTAAATTAAATGTAAAAAATGTAAAGAGTTTAATAGTGTTTATTTAATATATCATTAATTTTACTGCATTGTTAAAAACAATAAGGGTGAATTAAAGTAAACTGGGCCTCATTTGACATTGACTTACCAGATTTACTATAATAACCCCTCATATCAGTAAGATCTATGACACCCACGCACACCATGCACAGGTTTCAGTTTTCCCTTTGATGGCAATACAGGTTTCAGTAGCGTTTGCAGAATCAATAGATGGGGAATTTCTGTGTTGTTTTACTCAATACAAATTTTTACTATAGGCTATCTATTTATGGTATAAAAAAAATAAAAAAAAGTTAAAGTACGGTAAGACACGTAGGCCAATACGATTTCACTTCTGATGATGTTAGGTTATGCTATCGGAGGGCAGAATAGGTAGGGATGGGCATATCGATCCTGAAGTATTGATATATCGATACTGATGCGAATATCGAAAGTATCGATACTCAAATAAAAAATATATACTAAGGATTTTTATTTACCAGTAATTTTGTTTATTTAACAAAAAAAATAATAATAATAATAACAATAATGCATACAATATGCATTGAATTGGAATAACCTGGATCGAACTATTTTCCTGCTCATCTGAACCACAGAGAGCGTTCACTCACTTCTGACAGTCCATTCAAACAGAGCTGCGTTTCCCAAAATTATCATAAGAAAGCATTGATGCTTTTGGAAAGGGCAGCCCAGAACAATGCTTATCAGAGGACAGAAAAAAACATATGTTTGAGTTATTTCACAATAAACAAATTGAAATCATAGCCTACATAGTTTGTACAATTACATTTATTTAAATTGAACGTTGAAAGATAATATAGATCATGTTCTATTCTGTAATGTTAATAGAAATCATACACTGTCAGAACAAAAAGGTTGCATTTTATGGATGCAACAGCCTGTCACTGGCAGTCCCTTATGATAATGAACCATGGTTTTACTAAAATGACCATAGTTCAACTGTAGTATTTGTAGATTTGAATCATGTGTAAAGCCCAGAACAATGCTTATCAGAGGACAGAAAAAAACATATGTTTGAGTTATTTCACAATCAACAAACTGAAATTGTGGTCTACAGTTTGTGCAATTACATGTATTTAAATCGAACGTTTAAAGTTCATATTGATCATGTTCTATTCTGTAATGTATAAACCATGCACTGTCAGAATAAAAAGGTTGCATATGCACGCAACAGCCTGTCACTGGCAGTCCCTTATGAAAATGAACCATGGTTTTACTAAAGTGACCGTAGTTCAACAATAGTATTTGTAGATTTCCATGGTTACCACTACAGTAAACATAACCATGTGTAAACAAAAACATAACCTAATAAGTTGCAGTTAAGGCGTATTGAATGTTAAAATGCGTTTCAAATATAAAGTTAAGTGGATATCATTACCCATTTTACTCTTAGTAATTTAATAATTTAACACATTGCATAATTTAAAAGTTCAGTTTAGAAGTATCGTATCGGTATCGACGATACTGGCCTTTAAAAGTATCGATATCGTATCGAAAACAAAATAAGTGGTATCGCTAATCCCTACCTATAGGTGAAAGTAATGACATCACCGTGCTTAGAGACGATGACATAACTTTGTTTAGAAATGCTAGTCCGGTTGCTAAAGTCAGCTTGACTCCTCCCTCCTACGTAGCCTTCACTATAAGAATCCTCGGCATGAATCACCGGCACTTTACTACCAACTACTTCGAGAGTTCGCAACAAGAGAGAAGCAAACAAACAACATGTGTCCAGAAACGGAGTGCGGAATCTGCTACCGAACTTACAACCTCGGTCGGCGGTGTCCTCGACAGCTGTGCTGCAAACACACGTTTTGTGAGAGCTGCCTGGTGACGCTCGGGCGGTCCGTGGAGAGCCCTGAACCCCGGATAATGTGTCCGCTGTGCCGTCACTCGACTCCGCTGTCGAAGGCGAGAATCCAAGAGAACCTACCGATAGACGAAGACATTTTTGAGCGGCTAGTAACCGCGGGCAGCGTGGAGGAATGTGCGGACGACGATGAAGACACCGAGAAGCCAGACCGGGACGTGGTCATCCTACCAAAAGAGGACGTTCCGCCGCCGCCAAGATCGCGAAAAGGACACCTGATGAAATGCTTAAGTCGCCTGTGTAAAAAAGTCACCGGGGATGAGCGGAGAAGTGAGTGTTTCACCTCGATAACCTCTTGTCAACTAGCATGTGTGTTTTAATGTCTTTAATACATGCACTGAGTTCCTAAAGAGTTAATTGTCATGTGTGTTTTCAGATTGTGTGACTGATGAAGACTTGAGGGACCTGGCAATGATGTCCTGCTACATGATGTGAAAGACAACATTTCAAGTTGTTGTCATTCAGACACTCCTAAGGCCAACAGATGCAACCACACACGATTTAAGGGAACAGATGTAATCATTTAAGAATCATCTATTGAAAAACACTGGTTTACTGCTAATCTGAACATTTGGGTGGATGTGTCCCCTTCAATGTCTGTGGGTGTCACTGCCCTGCCTCGAGGTTATGGATGGCACTCCGCAGTGGGATCCTACGGATGGCATGATGTGTTTGTGTGCTGAAGCGGTCAAATGTCACAGTGTCTGTTCAGTGAAGGAGGACTGTTTGCTGTTGGGTGTGGCTTGTCACCATAACAGACGTTTAGGATTGTTAGCAACCTATAAACACAGCAACAAAAACATGTTAACTTGAAAAAAAAAAAAAATTAACCACACTGCCAGTAGTTTTAGGCCAATATAATTTTTTGGTGCTGTTTTTGCTGTTACAAAATTATGGAGACCGTACCCAACAAGTTCTCTCTCTTTTACTTTATTGTAATTAAATGATTTTGAATAATTTCTACGAAATGTTACTTGTATTTAATAAATTAATACGTTTTAATAAGGTGTTAATAAGTTTAATTAAAAAAAAGTTAAAGTTTTTCAGTGTTACATTTGTATCAGAGGAAAGAACCTGGATTATATTTATCTTTTTAAACAAGTTTCATGATCATAAATTAATTTTGTATGTATCTATAAGTATTTTACATTTTTAAGAGGAAATTACTATATACTGATTTGTACCAAATAAAATTTTGTATAATTTTTATGACCAGTTTAGCACATTGTCTTTTTTTTACCACTACATATACTTGTTTTAAAGGCAAGGGCAGAGTACTACATTTTCATCATACTTTCAGAACTCCTAAAATGTGAGAATTGTGCAAATGTGCATGTCTTTAGCTTTAAATGTATTCAGGTGAGTCTCATCAGTGATCACCATTATACTGATCAACAATATTAGCATTTCAGTGAGCCCACATTAGTAGGCTAACTTTGAGCAGGTGTGGCACGAAAGCACAAGTGCGTTAGTCCTTAAAACATGTCTCCTCAATACTATCTGAGGTAAGCATTCAGACCTTCATTTTAGTACAACCATTTTATTTTTGTTATAATATATTGTAATTTTAAGTGTGACTACTTTTTTTTTATAGACTGGCTTTGGTTGGTTTGACTGTTTCTGTTGTGGGATGTTTGCCTGATGCGTCAATCGGTAAGATTTTGTTGTTTTGGTTGCTTCTATTGTCCTCATTTGTAAGTCGCTTCGGATGAAGTCATCTGCTATATGATTTAATGTAATGTAAATGTAATTTTAGTTTTTCAGGGTGTAAATATTTAGAATGGCTGTGATTTTTTTTAAAAGTAGTAAAAATGTATTATTGTCCTTTGGGTGTTTTCAGAATATATCGCATGCTTATCTAAATAAACTGGCTTTAAATTTGCTGCCATTATAAATAACTAAAAATATTGTTGGTTCATCACCAGTGCCTTTAGGAGACCTCTCAGATGATTCAGAGATCAAAATACAAGTGTTGGAAAATTTCAAAAGTGTTAGTCCACCCATTCAAAGTCCAGTAAGAGGCAGACTTCAAGGGAACGTAGAACAATTTAACAGCAAATATCAGCTACCCAGGATCAACTCGGCCTCATACAGCCAGAGAAATGATGGCAATGCAAAAAATCCAAGCTTCAGCCCCACTGACATAAGAGCTTCTGCAGATGTTATCTTTTACCATTCAGTCCCAAATAAAGTCCAGTCCAATACAAATAGCAGAAATAATCCTGTTGAATTTTCAAGTGTCAAATTTAATGATGGAATTGATGCCAAAAGAAGCTATGCTTTGCAAACAGTCCGACAGGAACAAAATCCTTTAGACTTTAAAGGGAGCCAAATGAGCTCTAGTGATCCTAATATGGCCCCAAGGCTAGTGAGGAAAAATGGTGGAATGCATGCAGCAAATGTGCGTAGATCTGGCTCATTTGGATATCAACATATTTTGAAATCAGAAATGCCCTCAGAAAGTTTACGACTCAATGAACCCTATTTGAGGGAAAATATTCCAACTAATTACATGTCTAGAAGCTCAACTGTGAACCAAATGAGGCACAAAAGTGATGGAAACATGCTGTTTGGTCATTTACTTCAAAACCGCGGCCAGAATCAAAAAGTGCTGAGGAATACATCTCCCTCAATTGTAAGACCAAATCAACAAGACGGCAAACCATTACCACATGCTTTTTCTGCTGGGACTGGAGTCATTTCTCAAATTTCCTACGAGAATACGAGGGATGTAGCTCTTTCCAAGGTGTACACACCTCCAACAATCCCAACACCAATATTTCCTGGCTTTATGAGATCAAATTCAAATAGAGGTCATGGCATCCTTCCGTTTAAAAAATCTCTCATGTTTTCTTCTCAACATGATCACGTCAAGCCGTCTAGTTCTGAAAGGGTTGCCAGTCCCAGTACAAAATCAGCCACGAGCAGCTACACTTTCAAGGACATTCACTTGACATCTACACAAAATGATTACCAAAATAGGGGACAAAGTAGTCAGAATCTTGCGCCCATTCAAACATTTCACAGTCAAAAGGAGTATGGTAATTTGGCTACAGGTATATCTGCCTTCAGGCCTTCAGTGACCAATAATGCCCGGTCTTCCTTCCTATCAAATGAGAACAGTGGCATCCAGATGTCTGCGCTACTCGACCGGTCAAAACAAAACACAGACTTGACCCCACAAATGCAGTTTGCAAAGAACACCATGTTACTTTCAGAACGGGCTAAAAATAGGAACCTACCATACCCAACAAATCATTCATTAAAGAAGCCAAGTCAGCATAACATCCGAAATAGGACAGATCTGAATTCCTTCGGCCAAAGTGCAGTGCAATCATTATTCTTTAAAAATGATCCTGCGCCAAGTCTCGTGCCTGGTAAAATAATTGAGAGCGTCCACAGCGTTAGTCCGTCTGTGTCTGGCACTCAAGGCACATCAGAAAATTCAGGTACGTCTAGTAGCCGAAACAGACCGTACTATCTAACTTCTAAAATGCCATATGCTTTTAAAGGTTTCACATTTGTCCCTACATTGCAGACATCTCTACAAAAAACAGAAATGCACTCTGGCCAAAAACCTCTCTCAAACTCTAATGTGCAATATGCCCCTGCTCGTCCACATACCACCTTAAGTGCACTCGCTCAAAAGCCCTTGATACGTGAGAGCTACCAGAAAACGCTTTTTCAGTTCAAGGACATTGAAACAAGCCAAGAAAAACAATTTTATCTAGATCAGACAGATTCTTTTGATAATGGACCTCAGCATGAAACCGTCTCTTCTACTTTAGGTGCAAGTAACCCGATGTCTAATGCTCCAAAGCACCATGTTGTTAAAGGTCAAGCTGTAGTGATGAAAACATCTCTGAGCGGCACGAACACTTCAAGTCTTACAAATAATGGAGCTGTTTTCCTTCAGAACCACCCTAAAATAGGGTACGGTGGGTTGACGGTTGATGAAGTTCAGTCAAAAACATCTCAGAGGTGGACTTCAAGTATGCTTGCTTCAGCCCCGCACACTGAATCTAACCAAGGCGAAATTCCAGCAGTGACATCCTCAAACACCAGTTTTGTTGGACCCAACTCATACGACGCATCCATAAAATCTAGAAACGGTCATGAGAATCCCACATCTGAGCTTAAGTCTTCTCTTATGAACAAAGTGACTGGCTATCCTCAAATACACAATGCTGTTATCCAGCCACTTCGCAGGTATAGCTTGAAGGGACATAAAGGTCTGTTGAATCCAACGATGGAAGTTAAAGACGGAAACACTGCTGGAATAACACAATCAAATATTACTGAATATTACAGTCCCATAAGATTGAGACCGACGAGCAGCGCTGTGATTAGTAGGTGGGTCGAAGTGACTCAAGAAGGAAAGAGATCTGAAGAAAATACAAACCACCAGAATGTGTATGCCATCCCAACCTACCAATCTGCAATATATAGATCTGCTGACATTAATAGTCATAAAACTAATAGCTCTGCAAAGCTCACTTACCAGTTACCTATACACAGATCTGCTATAAAAACTTCTGGCAAAGCTAACGTCATACAAGCCCAGGGATCAAGACCCACAAGCAGCTTTGTAGTCGGAAGGTACATTAATACATTTGATAAAACCTCAACCAAATCAAACCTCAACTTATCTTCTACAAAAACCGGTCTAAACAATTATAAACCGGTTCAGTTTTCAGATATAGCAGGTAGCGCCTCCTTCACTAATGCAGCTGACACCACGGCAAAGAAAGAAGTGGATCCTGAAAGTGAGCAAAACGGCTCCAATTCAACATCAGTGATGGAGGAAAGTTTTAAAGAGCTGCTTTTTGACAACTCCATGATCTCAGCCTTACAAAATGAAACCGATGAAAGTACAATGGATTTAAGTGTCCCTGAGCTTATGCCAACTGCTGCTATAGACTTCACCACAGAATCTCAGCTGCCATTTACAGAAGAATATACTCTACCTCAACCAACTGTCTATTCCTCTGAGTCACAGCTGGATCTTGGGAATCTTACTACATCTACAGCAGAGGGTACCTATCCGCTTTTTGAGGAAACGTTGATACTCAATACAACTTTGCTGGTCAAACTGACATCAGATTGAGATCTGCCTCTTCAAGTTTTCTACTGTATGTACTCCAATGGCAACCGTCATTAACACCAACAGACTAAAATGTGAAGTGTTTTTCTTTTCTGTATTTAGACGGCACCAGATCTGTCGTCACATTCACTTGCATTAAATTTGTGAGTTCTGAGTTTTGTAGTTTGTGCTTTACTTCCCCTTGGTAATCGTTATTTTGGAAGAAAAAATATGGATGGTATTAACAGTATTCCCCCCCCCGTAAATTGTGAAAGTAGTTTCCTGATGTAGGGGTGGGCTCACACACACTTTCTATTTCCTTCTTGCTGATCGGTAGTTGTGTCAACAATATATTACAAAAAAATTGGCCTCAGATGGCCACCAGATGGAGTGTGTGCGCTGTCAGAATGATCTCACAGGGTTCTTCGAGTTCATTGTGGAGTTATTTTGTTCTTTAATTAGGACTGAACTGCCAAAAGAAACTACCTGAAAAGGCATGTGTATTTGAGCAAGCTTGCAATGTGTGAGCACATAATTATTAATCTGAACTGTTTTGAAAAAAGCCTAGCAGGTCTATTAGAGACTATTAAAAACACAAAATTCTAAAATGACATTATTCGTAATTTTGTAAGAGTAATTCTCACTTGAATGAATCACCATGTTGAACAAATAATTTCTGATCATCATAATCATTAATGACAGT